CTTCCTTCTCTCTTTTTTTTAGCGGGGGCGGGGGCCAGGGGGAGGGAGGCAAGGGCCATTTGCCCCCCTCCCGATCCCGATCTTGTTGGCGGGAAAATTGCAACTGATATCCCCCTTCTTTTCTTTTCTTCTTCCTCTTTTTTCCTCCCCTTTATCTGCTCTTTTCCTTTTTCTTTTCCTTTCCTTCCTTCTTTCTTATTTTTTTTATGGGGGGGGGGGGGGGGCGGGGCGGGGAGGCAACAGCATTCGACGCAAGACCCTTTCGCCCCCTGTCTCCTTCTTCCCCTTTTCTTTTCTTCTTTCTTTTCCTTTCTCTCCTTTTCCCCTTTCCCTTCTTTTCCTTCTCTCTTTTTTTGCGGGGGGGGGGGGGCAAGGCCCGCTCGACCCCCTGGATCCACGCCTGAGAGACAGAGGCAGAGAGAGAGAGGGGGGGGGGGGGGTGGAGCTTTTATAGGATCAGTACACTGAGTGTCACAGACCCATGCAAGGAACCATCTCTATTGAATTTACTATAATACCTTCATTTTTACTACTATTATTGTTTGCTAGTGTAATGTTTATTGAAAAGTAATAAATGTGTTGACTTTTGTATATCAAATTTTTAAAATTATGTTTTGTCTTTTTAATTAGCATCAATAACGAAGTTTTAGAAAAGTTGAACCGGGTGAAAGTTGTGTGAGTGAATGTTGATTGGGTATGTCTTGTTGCTGTCTTAATTGGATAACAACTGATTATGAAGGTGACACATTAATTTGAACTAAAGAAGGGCATATTATGTGAAAGAATGTTACTTTCCTTAAATTTAAATTTGTATGGATGTGATAACAACCATTATAGATGGCATATATGCCGGTGAATACATTTTTCAGATGGTATAGACAATAAAAGATAATTTCAATTTGTGTTGGCAAAATGTTAAAAAAAGCACATTAAAAATCATGTGCACCCCTACATTTTTTTCAGCAAGACTTAACGAATACATAAACGTGTGTCTAATTAAGTAAAATGGAAATTAATTTCTACTTGTAATTTAACGACAGTTATGCAAGACTAGTTAACATTTAAAAACTGAATTCCATACAAAAAAAAAGAAATGGATATAGTTTTTTCATTTCAATAGATAAATGACTGATATGCAAGACTAGCAAAACACCTATATTTGTCAGTTTTTAAATATCTAAGTTAATTATTTCATTGCGTTTCTTTTTATTTACTGATTTAATTCTTATAAATGCCTGATCTGCAAGACTACGCAAAAAGTAGTTTCAATTTTGATTATTTCAATTTATAGAACCATATTTCTATTCCTTAAACATTTTAAACGACTGATGTGAAAGACTAGTTGACGCACCCTTTCGAGAAAAGACCCCCCTCTTTTCTCGAAAGGGTGTGCTAAGACGGTCCTCCGTTCTCAACGCACCCTTTCGAGAAAAGCGGGGGGCCTTTTATCGAATGGGTGCGTTGAACTCACCACACCGCGCCGCACCGCACCGCACCCTTTCGATGTAAGCCGTTCACAAGGCATCAAGCTTGGGTGATCTTGGAGCCCTGGCCAATTCCGTTTAAAATAAGTTTATATTTCTTCATGTATATCCAGTGGCGTACGCAGGATTTTTTCAAGGGGGGGGGGGGGGGGGGTTTAAAATCGGGTCCAAAATGTCGCAACGACTCAGGAAAATTTGAAAATCGCGCCGGCCAAAAAGTCGCTCAGGGGGGGGGTGGGGGGGGGGGGGGGGGGGGGGGGGGGGGGGGTAAGCGGACACTTTTTTTTTTTTTTGTCCCAAAAAAATCGCAACGACTCAACCGACCGCTGAATAAGCGGGGGGGGGGGGGGGGGGGGGGGGGGGGGGGGGGGGGGGGGGTAAGAGGACACTTTTTTTTTTTTTTTTGGTCTCGAAATTTGACAATTTGACATTTTGATCCGTTGGAGGAGGGGGGGGGGGGGTAAGGTCACCTTTTTTAGGTCAGTCATGGGGGTAATTTTTTTTTTTTAATAATTAAAAAAAAAAAAAAAAAAATCGAAAGGGGGGGGGGGTTTTAGGGATTTTTTAGGGGGGTTTACACACATAAAAATACCAAAAGGGGGGGGGGGGTTTAACCCCCCAAACACCCCCCTGCGTACGCGTCTGTGTATATCTAAAGGTATACTGATTTGATTATGTATTCAGAACTTGAAAAAAAAAGGAAATGAAATAAGAGTGATCAAAATCATCAGAAAACAATTGAATATGAAGAGTGAACGATATTGGAAAAGTTAGAAAAGCTGAGACAAGGAAGGTGAAAAATGGTAACAAAATTAAAACTGAATGAGAAAGGGTCAAAATAAGTGAGAAAGAAAGACTGGGAGGAGTCGCCAAAGATAAGAAAATGAAAGTGAGAAAGGAATATTAAAAGCGAAAATAAAAAACCATGAGGAAAATGGTCAAAAGATGAAAAATTATGCGAAAGATAATTTCAATGACTGGAAAAAAGCTCAATTTATAACAAGAATATGGGATGAGCACATGACAACCCTTGATGCAAGATTGAATGTGTTGTAAGGAACTACATCTGCAGTCAGTTTGACTTGTTAATGTGTCTATCAACTTTCATTTCACTCGTTTCTTTCCTTTTCACTTTTTCTTTACATATGTGTCTTTAAGTGGTAAACTTGTCCTTGTACAATACTTTTATCCATCTCTTCTGCTTCTCTAAAAAAAATGTTACTCTTCCTTCTCCAGTCTCCGCTTCCTATAATTCTTCATCTCTAATTCCTTTCTTACAAGTATGATTGACATTGTGTATTTGTCTGATACCTAAATTGCATCTGAATATCTCTTGCTCTCAATTTCTGATACAATTGTCCTCTCACCCCCTCTCTCTCCCTAAATACAAATGAAAACACAGCAGTTCAAGTTTGCTGTTTCTTTATTAAAGCATGAGAATACAGCATGTCTGTGTACAAGTCAAATGTTCTTTACATAAAAGACAATAAGTGGAATCTTGATTATTGTGCATTATAACTAAGTGATATTAAACAGAATTTGGACCAATTATCTCTACAGTTAGAGGAAAGCATGTAAATGACACTCATGTAAATGTATTTTCCTCTTCGACTTCTCGACAAAATATACCATTTCTCAAACTTATTTATTTAAAAATATTTATACAGGATGACAATGTTGGCCAAAGCAGTTTTTCACATTGGTCCTTTATATACATGGTAACATACAAAATATCAATGAAATGAGGCAAACATAGCAATTTATTACAGAGATATTAAATAGACTTTGGACCAATTATCTCTACAGTTAGAGGAAAGCATGTACATGACACTATATGTAAATGTATTTCTCTCTTCGACTTCTCGACAAAATATTATACCATTTCTCAAACTTATTTATTTAAAAATATTAATACATGATGACAATGTTGGCCAAAGCTGTTTTTCACATTGGTCACATACAAAAAATCAATTAAATGAGGTAAACATAACAATTTATTACAGGGATATTAAATAGACTTCAGACCAATTATCTCTTTAGTTAGAGTAAAGCATGTACATGACATGTAAATTTTTTTATTTTCGACTTCTCTACAAAATATTATACCATTTCTCAAACTTATTTGTTTAGAAATATTTATACAGGATGACAATGTTGGCCAAAGCTTTTTTTCACATTGGTCCTGTATATACATGGTAACATACAAAATATCAATGAAATGAGGCAAACATAACAATTTATTACAGGGATATTAAATAGACTTTGAACCAATTATCTCTTCTGTTAGAGGAAGGCATGTACATGACACTACATGTAAATGTATTCTCTCTTCGATTTCTCGACAAAATATTATATCATTTCTCAAACTTATTTGTTTAAAACTATTTATACAGGATGACAATGTTGGCCAAAGCTGTTTTTCACTTTGGTCCTGTATATACATGGTAACATACAAAATATCAATGAACTGAGGCAAACATAACAATATATTACCATTAAAAAGACTTTGGACCAATTATTTCTTCAGTTAGAGGAAGCATGTACATATGTCACTACATGTAATTGTATTTTCTCTTCGACTTCTCGACAAAATATTACACCATTTCTCAAAGTTATTTATTTAAAAATATGTATACAGGATGACAACATATTATAGGGATATTAAATAACATTATACGTAATAACCAGCGAATAGAGACATGGATATAAATTGATAGACTTACAAAATGAGGTTATCCAACGATTTGAAAAATAGTATTAACACAAATTAAACTTCACCGGAAATGTAATTAATTATTTCACCATTAGAATCAGAATCTCACCCAGTACACTCGTAAGAAACAAGACACATCACACCATTCCGGTGATGTAGTATTATACTTAGGGCACACAAAAGTAAATTTGTATTGAATTGGGTAGAAAATACACACAAGACATATACATCTATGGCGTCACTGGTTATTTAGTACATTAATGAAAATCCAATTGTTTAAAAAGGTGTTTAAATGAAGAAATAGACAATGAATTCTGCAAAGTACTATATTAATTAGTTCCACAAATAACACCCCATAGGAAAGTGAAAAGTATGCCGCAGACCTGCCGCAGACCTGCCGCAGATCTGCGGCAGACTTTTAGTCTGCGGCAAAGAGTATGCCAAAGTAAAGAAATTTTGCTGCAGACTTGCCGCATACCAGTATGCCACAGGAACAGTCTGCGGCAGGATGGAATTTTGCTGCAGACTTGCCGCATACCAGTATGCCACAGGAAGAGTCTGCGGCAGATCTGCGGCAGGATGAAACTTTACTCCAGACTTGCCGCATACTAGTATGCCACAGGAACAGTCTGCGGCAGATCTGCGGCAGGACCCAAGACGAAAATCCAATTGAAACCAATTAAACACCAATTGAAATTTCAATTTCAATTTCAATACTGAAAGAGTATGCTTCAAGTCTGCAGCAAGTCTGCGGCAGACCTGCAGCAGACTCTTCATCATACTGAAAGAGTATGCGGCAAGTCTGCGGCAATTCTGCGGCAAAACTAATTTGCATGTGAAAAAGATGACTGTCTGCGGCAGGTCTGCCGCAGGAGTTTGCGGCAGGCTCATATCTTTCCTATGGGACCTCCTTAAATAGAACTGGGCCCTGTTTTTATCAAACTTGTTATCAATAACAACTGCCACATATATATGATAAATCTGCTCACAGCCAATCAAATGCAAGGATTTCAGAAGCTTATCACAATGATCGTAACACGTTATTGAAAATAAGTTTCATGAAACGGGGCCCTGGTGTTCAAATTTCTAGATGTACAAACTACAATGACTACATTTCGAATTGACTGTTTGCCAGCTTCTCAAACTAATTGTTATTGTTATGTCCCGTTTCCTTTCGATCTCACTCTCGCTGTCAATCTGTCCTTCAATCTTTAGTATTTCCAGTGTCATCTACTAGTACAGAAAAGGTCCTGTATTGATGTTGACATCAGTGACGGTTGCTCGACATGTCTTATCTGCAGTTAAAGACAGAAGGGGTGACCTTCGGGAAAGTCGTTAGCCATGTATTACCTAAATCTACAGAGCAGTTTTTGCACTGACGTTGACTTCATCAGTGAATGCTGTGGCCCATGCGTTACCTCCAAAACACTCTTTGCCTGAAAAACAAAATAATGAATTAAAACAAATACAAATAAATAACAGAGACACTTTAGGCACCAAATTAACTTCCTCCTCAATCAGACGCAGAAAAGTAGGGACAAATTTAAAGGAATAGTCGAGAATTGATATAGAGGGCGCTACACAAAATAATTATTATGTGAGATAGTGATACATTTGAAAGAGCGTACAATTTGTTTGACAAAATCATCTTTGTTTGATCAAAATATCCGATAACGTTTTATTCCAGCCAATGTTGGATTTGTTTGGCTTTTTCGTGCTGTTTATAATAAACACAACTAGCCGGCCTGTGTATTTTTTATCACTAATTAATCAATCAATTAACGGTCACCATACTTTTTTTGAAACTGGAGCTGAATTGGTATGATCGGATTTAATATACATTTGACATGAAGTTAACTGTCCCTTTAAAGAGAGAACGATAAAGCAAAGGGAGGTATTATTTTATTGCAAGGATTATAGTAGATCAAATCCCTTCCTTATTTATTAAACACTTTTTCATCTATTGTCCTAGCTAATTTATATCATGGCTACTGACACAGTTTAGATTCTCAATAAGAATATCTAGAGAGCAACGAACTTGGTTATGATGTACTGTGATTTATGTGCCCTTTTCAGACAAAACTACTACCGATATGAAGCTTGTTCATGGAATCAGACGAAAAGGATGGAAAAATGGGGTTCGGGTACCTGAAATTATTCTGGATTAAATCATTGTGTATCCTATATAACACCATCATTTATCCCCCAACCCCCACCCACCATCCTAAAGATGAACCTATTCCTGTAATTGCTTCATAGCAAACACTAATAAAAATGCATGAATCTACTTCTCTACTCCACTACAAATAAAAGTTGTCAAAACAGCTGGATGAAAAGCCCCAATAGAAATACAATACAAATGAAAACAAAAAACAGCATCGTAGTCTTCAGACAGTCCCACCAATCTATAGGAAGAATAGTTAGTTACCTCTGTGAGATACTTTCTGGCCTCCTGAAATCTCTTCAGGTTTAGCAGTGCTTGGCCCATCCTCAGGAGGTGAATCCCCAGACTTGGATGGTATGGTCCATAGTGGTCTCTATAAAAATCAATACAGGTATCATAAAAATACATAGACACAAACAAATAAGGTTTCGATAAATTTACAAAATAATGTGAAGCCTTTACAGCAAGTTTATTGTTCATAATTATATATAGCAGTTCAATTAACGAAATGGATAATTGTTCTGCTCTGAGGGGAAGACCTGCATACAATATCGATCATTCTCAGTCTGATGAGTGTTTAGAAAAGTTCAACTAATGCACTATTGCTCCTGTTTAAGAACAGATATTTAGTCAGTTAATCCGTTGTGAATTTAAAGTGTCTTGTTTTTCGATCACACGAATGATCGATATGATTGTACTCTCACCTATATGGTTTTGTGATCAGTTGTCCCATCTGAGCAGCTTTTCCCCATGATTCTATCGTACAGCATATTCCAAATGCTAGATCTCTGACCTCCACCAGAAGATAATGATGGGCTGGAAGACAGCTTCTCAGGTAGGTCTCGAATTTCTGTAACACTTTGGTCCAATGTAAAAATTACATCATTAAGGAATATAACTTCTGAAAATTAACAAAATTATGATTAGGATTGTTCTGACAAATTCACAGTGTGAAGGCAAAGAAAAATGAGAAAGAAAAATAGCAATGTCACGAGAGAAAATGGAATGACTGAAATGAAGTCAGTAAGTTGATAATATAGAGGAGTGTGCAAAATAGAGAGCGACAGAGAGACAGACAGACAGGCACACAAAAACAGACTTAGGCCAGCAGAAAGAAAGAAGAGCGAGAAAAAGACAAAATGAAAGAGAGAAATTAGAATTTAATGAAACAGATATTAGTAGCACGTTTACTGTGCAAATACCGAAATTGACTATTAATTCAAGTGTTACGAAATTAAAAACAAAATTAAAAAGGTACTAAAAAAGGGGAATCATTTAATTCATAAATGGGATCACATAGTTATGGTAATTGTGCTTCCTAGATGTACTCCTATTGGGAACAAAGGATATCTTTTGTTATCAATGCAAACTGTATTTGCATCTCGATTTCCTCCTTGGATTTCTCTAGACCTAGGATCTCTTCAGTTAAACCAGCATCCGGTTCCAATGCCTGAAGTGAAAAGAAAACGTTTTAATAATCGGAATGTAAAACAAAAATTGCTTCACCATAAGAAAATTTAGATTTTGCACAGAAATGCATAGTTCAAGACTTATGTTACACTTTCTTTATGGACTTTGCAAATCACTTATTACCTAGTGCATTTACTAAGAAAAACTCCATGCAGGTATCAACTGCCTTGGTTTATGTATGCATGAGCATATAGGGTACGTGAGAGTGATATAATTCAAACTGAATAATAATACAAAGTAAAGCAGTGCGTGGATCTTATTATTGGCCAATATAGTGTTTTCCTACCTTGAACATTGGAAGTCACGGTGCACACTCATTGATGAAACCACAGCCCTTATCCCTAGACCACCAATACAATTCAAGTTCACAGATTGATAGTAATTCAGAATGAATCTACCTATGCAGCTGTAATCTTTTTAATTAAATATTTGACTAGCGTGAAACAAAGAATGAAACTTTAAGAAGTAAAACTCACATTGATTTCTTCGATGCATTTCACACACTTGCAGGTGAAGTAATGTACGTGGTCTAGAAAAGCCTGTCTTTCTTTAGTTGGGTAATTGACGGCAGTAAAATAGCTGATTGTACACTAAAATAAAACAAAAATAGTTTGGAAGGATCTTAAATTTCAAACACATGTAATTTCTATAGTAAACTGTCATGTTTTTCAAGGTCATAAAGTTGCTAAATTCTTTTTCATATGACCATACTTATCAACAATTTTGTCAACACTGACCATTGTGATCTTCAAATATTATGACGATGACAAACTTGCTCTTTTTCTTCGATTCACCAATATAAAGATAATTTAGATTTGTTGACTTACATGATATGATGAAATTTCCGTATATATTTACAAATTTGTCAACGCCCAAGATATATAATTACTAAATGGTTTTGAAACAAAATCAAAGTCACATAAGCGTTTTGTCTATGGACTTTAAATCGAATATTACCCACTTCAAAAAGGTTTGTTTTATGGTTATGTTGGATTCCTAAATGTACACTGAACCATGTAGGTGTGCTGATTAAAATCTTATAAGCACCGGTATAGTATAATCCTGATTTGTTTTTGGTGAAGTTTAAGGTGGTGATAACCCCGATAGAGGCGATATACAGTGCGTCCCCAAAAAACGAAACCGTGCATTATCGATGTTTTACCATAACTTAATCACAATTATAATTAACAAATGACATTATTTGGAAAGCTTAGATCCTCCTCTTTCATTTGATGCAACTCGTATGATTCATATTTTAGGCATGAGTGATTAAAAGCAATTTGAAGAGAGGAAACCAAAAAGTCATTTGGCGGGCGGTATCTGAATTCCAAGGAGAAAATCACATTTCTAGAAAGTTCAATGTCTGCTCTTTCATATGACACCTCAATCAGGAAAAATGAGCCAGAAATAATAAAGTTATGTTTGTTTAAAGTAATGCTTGCATTTCCATAATTTGATCACAAAACGAGCTCGTTCTCGCCGGCTACCTGCCGTAGCAACAAACAGAGTTGACAAAAGACTTAACTCCGTTTCGTTGAAGATCAGCCATGCATCAGGTCTTTCGTCTTCTGTGTGCACAGATATGAATCGTACGAGTTGCATCAAATGAAAGAGGAGGATCTAAGCTTTCCAAATATGTGTAATTTGTTAGCTATAATTGTGATTAAGTTATGATAAAACATCGATACTGCTCGGTTTCGTTTTTCTGGGACGCACTGTATAGCAACAGTCAGTGAACTTTCTTTTAAATCTTCGGGCATTTTTTTTTATCTTGTGTGCAAATCCGGAAAAAATAATCATGCGGTCTTACCTCTTCTCCTTCTTTGACATCTTTAACAGTCCTGACTTGAAGTTTCCTCCCATCAAACACCAGTGCACAGTTAGGATCACAAGAATGGTTCACCATAGATGCTCTAAAAACAGGTACATAATACAAGAGTTAAAATAGACACGATTGACACATTTATTTATACAAACAAAACAAATAAAGGAAATTCAATCTTTATGGGATTGGGGAGAGAAAAGGTACTAGTATATTATGCTAAATGGAATCATGCTTAACATACAAGTACAACATACAATCAGTAAGTGGTAGAGCAGTGGCCTCGTACCCGGAAGTCCCAGGTTCAAAACCAAGTCAATGTGCTGGTGCCCTTTGGTGAGGCGTTAATCCTCATTACCAAGTCTCTTGGAGAGGACTTAAAGCAATCGGTCCCCTTGTTGTTTACTTACCAGCATATACATTCTTTCTTAGAGTCAGGTAAAACAAACATCAATCATAGTAACTGAAATCACCTCAAGTATACCCCATTTGCAATGTCAATCAGACCATAAAGTCCATAATCCATTATTGAAAAGCCGTTACAGAGAGTCGCTCCATACATCTTCAACCAGCTGCTTGGCTCAGCTAAGACGTCCTCTTCAAGGAACTGCTTCAATACACACAACAAGCTCTCAAAATGATTCCTTTTCGTATCACTCAGCTTTTCATGATTTGATTCCAACTGGTCTACGGTGGTTGGGAAACAATCCTCATCTTCCTGAGTGCATGGAGCAGACTTGCTTTGCTTCCGGATGAGTTGAGACAGAAGCTGAGCTACGTGTAAGTCTGGAGGCCTGGGATGTATTTTCTTGAGTGTTTTGCACTCTTGCTTGTGACATCTTGCCCAGTCTCCTATCTGCACGGGACACAAACATCAAAATAAGAATGTAAGCAATACCAAAGGACATAATTATTCTAAAAGAGTCTACCAATTACAGCCATTAAAGACACTCGATATCCTTAACACTTTTAAAATCAAAATTATGTATACATATCTTTTCATTTAAATGTTCATAGAAGTTTAGGCACATTGGGGTTGATTATTTCTGCATAGTTCATGCAATGACCACTAATTTCAAACAACCATTCTGTCACTAATAAAGTAATGGCCAATTATACTTAATATAACATAGCCCCTTACTCCATAAAATGTCATATTGCTCACAACAAATGTCTTTATATTTACCTAGAGATGGAGCTATTTTACTAAAATATGTCAATCTCAGGGAAATTATTAAGAAATTGTTGATGTTTTAAAAGTTATTTTAACTCACTGAGACACTGACTGCTCGAATTTTCTTATTTCCATAGAGTCAGACTTAATTCAGGAATCATTCATCTCGAATATATATAGGCAATGGGTTTATATTGGAGGAAACCAAAACAAAAGATTTGTTTTTACCTGACATGATTTATTGCAGTAGCTTACATAATTGCATCTGGAACACTTCTTAAGAGTTGAACTGAAAGTAAGATGAAAATTGGAGATGAAAACACCGTTTTTATTAATATTATTATTATTATTATTATTATTATTATTATTATTATTATTATTATTAAATCATTATATTATTATTATTATAATTATTCTTGAATATTCAAAACAGTTTCAAACCTAAACGAATGTCTTTAAAATGTAACTTAATGCAATACTGTACTAGATCCAAACAAATACAAAATACAAGAGTAGAAACTTTACTAAAAGTTACAAACTTATGTTGACCTCTTTTGAGTTTTGTTCATTTTGATGAAAAAGTGCTTGCTTTTATTTCATAATAATGATTAATTTAATCATTAAAAAACATAAAAACATACAAACATGGCATACAGATAAAAGATCGATTACAAGAAAAATACAAAGGGAAGGAGCAAACAAAATTTATGGGAATGTGGGGTTAACAAAAAGGGCAATTAGCCTTACGAACGACAACCCCTTAACAAGTATACATTGTATTGTTGAGAAAAGAAAAAAGGAAAAGGAAAACCTAGATAATCTAAACACCAATACAAAAGAAGAAAACAAAAAAAGATAGAAGGGAAGGGGAGGGGGAATACATTAAAAAGTGCATTAACTAAAACGTAACGTCATTAATTTGAGACTTCTATATATTAGATTAATTATTATCATGATCATAAAATACGATGTTTAATTCAGTCATACACATAGTATTTAATAAATAAAAATTATTCTCATTATCATATTGTCATTCAAGTGAAATGAATGATATTTTTTGCTCAGTGGAAGTGATGTGGAAAAGAAAATATAGTTAGACTAAAGCACATTTTACTATCACATTAAAACAAAAAAATAAAAATCAATACCATTTTTTGAGGCAAAAATCACAGAAGCTCCCCCTTCTGTCGTTCTTCACTGTATATGCACATGGCAATTCTTCAAGGATACATTGTCCAGGCGCAAACTTTGAAGTGAAGACCAAACTTCGCCCACAAGTAGCTGATTTTACAACACGCACATATTCCATAGGTATAGCAGACACCGCCATTATATTAGTGTAAACTTATGAAATTGCTCCTCTCAGCTCGAACAGGCACGACCGGGCTACAATCGCTTTGATTACAACATTTCATTCAGCTATGCAGTTGTATGAGTATGTATTATCTTTTTATCGAGTGGGAATTCCACCGGGGAATTCCCAGTGACATTCATAACAGGAAGTATTATGTTTGACCTTTGCACTTGTGATCCTTCCGCTTAACCGATCACCCAAGTCACGCACATCTCAGCAATCCCTCTCGTTATAACAAGGTGAATGAGTATGATTTTTGTTCCCCTTAGGGGTGGGAATTCCCACTCATAAATATTTCTTGGATAATATAAAACTGTTATTATCTGGTACTGGTGCTGTTTGGTACGGTTATTTTTGTATAATTCGCTTGTCATATACTCGGGTTATGCATACCTAATATATGTTATTCATTGTGGGATGTGCACATTGAAAATCAACTTGGTGAAATATCTAAGTAGATTGCAAGGAAGGTCATAATGCTGTATTATGCATATATCTTGCTACTTTTATTTCATCCTTTTTCCCCCTTTCCTCCATCTCTTTTTCTTCCATTCTGATCTCTCACGTCCTAATCTCTTGTGCGTACATGCTCCCCCTCTCTCTACCACCTCTCCCTATAGCTCCCTCGATCATGTTTTAACCTTTGCCTCTACTCTGGTCAATTCTTGCTTCGTTCGACTTTCTCTCATTCTTACTACAATTATTTACTTTGTTCTGTTTTCTCCTATCCCCGCTCCTATTACCTTTGCTTCTCTCTTTCTAACTATTTGATGTTTTCTGCTTTCCCTGTACATGTAATATATTCTACTACTGGGCTTTGTTGTCTCTAACTGCGGCGTGTTTTCTATTTCCTGTTTACCTTGTGATGCATACGTATTGCTATGTTAAATCATTCATGTTTATGTCTTATAAATATATGTATTTGTAATTTGTTATTCTATTTTCTGATTCCATGTTAATATATGCTAATATGGAACTCGATATTTTTATGGAAACAGCCAGTGAATGATTTGTATGCCAATTGTGCTTTTTTTTTTCATTGTGCACGCATGGCCAATAAATCAAACTGAAATTAAAAATGACAATCGGGGAATGTGAATGCATTGTGTTGAGGGTTTGTTCAGATAACTCCTTCTCTCTGTTACTGTTAGCTCTGTGTGCACCCAACAGTCTGACATTATCGACGGTACCTCCCCCATACATAAACGTTCCAGAAAGTTATTTTGAGGATTCTGGAGCTCATGGGTCTTGAAGAACTTTAATCAGACAAGGTACGGACATGTTATCCTTTGCCCGTATTCATTACTGAAGTAAATTTTGTGTGTATAATAAAATTTTGGAACAATTTTGAGGTGTAATGTAGTCGAGACACGTGGCCCATGATTAATCATAAGTTTATCTCAAATGAAAACAACTCTTTGAGATGTAATTAGGGGGTAGATAGGCTACTTAATAAGTCCATGTACAACAAAATATTGTTTTTAGGGTCAACATTATGTTTTATGATTGTGTGTGTGCGTGTGTGCGTGAGTATGATATTATTTTTGAATTCTGTTACTTTGGTATTTAAAAAAAACTTGTATTTATGTTTCGTTTCTATCCTGCTTTTAGTCGCTTTTATGTTAATATTGTAGTGTAAGGACCCCAAGGGAGAATAATAAGTGTTCTATAAACACTGCTGAATTTGGCTTTCCACCGATTTTTGTCTATGTACATGTATAAATATTTCATTTCGTATATTTTACTATGTATAATATTTGTATCTGATTTCTGAAAGAAAAAAAAAACAAACAAACAAAACAACAACAGACCAAGATTTTTTGAGATCTATTAAATCAAGTTTTTTTAAAGAAAAATAACAATAGTAAAGCATGATTGTAGTAAATGCAATAGGGCTTGTATCGTGCTTTCTTGCAAGTGGTGATTAGATACTGGGGATGGCCAGCTTCAAGAAAATGTGTTAGTTTCTCACTGTTTTCTGTATTTTTCTAATATTTCCATTGCTGCAGGTTTGGAATGATTCATCTGGATACTTCATTATCAATCAGCCGAACATCTTCAGAAGACTGCTGAAATATTAAAGCTCAGTTTTAGAGCGGCTGCTGTACACTCCTTAGACTAGAAAGCGGGAACGTCAGACATTTCCAATTTTATAAAGATAATTCATTGAGACACAGATAACTAGATTTGGTGATCTGATCTGATCTGAATGACGAAGAAATGATCGCTAGATGGTACTTTACAAACAATCACAACTGTTTACTGATCTATTTGACCACTCGGCTCATACAGCTCGGCCCTGTGATCAAGGGGAAATAGTGGTTAAAATTGACGGTGATTGGATGGTGCCTTTTTAGAAAATCTGCCACAAAAAAACGTAAAGAAAGAGAAAAATTCTGACAAAATCAAGAGGTGATCTGCTGCAGATCACCTAATTAATATATGAAAATAGGCAATTGAATATTTATATTTGTTACAACAAAATGATCAAAAATAAATTTCAGAAAGTGAAGTCTTTCAGTTGTGAATCTATGTTCATTTATTGATTTCATTATAAGCTCGTGGATGTACTGAAAGCCTTGAAAGTGGGGAAAAAAGACGAGATTAAAAAGTAGCTCACAGAGTGAGTGAAAGAAAGTGTAGTTTCGGTTAACTTGGAACCCCGGCTAATTCTGTTTTAAATAAGTTTATATTTCCCCGTGTACATGTATATCTACAGGTGTACTAATTTTATTATGTATTCAGAACTGAAGGGAAAAAATGAAACGAAAAAGGAAGTGAAAGAAGAGTTAAAAATCAAAACACAATATGAAGAGTGAACAATAATATTGGAAAAGTTAGAAAAATTGAGACAAGGAACGGAAGGTGAGAAATAGTAAACAAAATTAAGAGTGAATGGGAAAGGGTCAAAATAAGTGAGAAAGAATGACTGATGAGGAGTCACCAAGGAGAAGAAAATGAAAGTGAGAAAGAATGACTGATGAGGAGTCACCAAGGAGAAGAAAATGAAAGTGAGAAAGGAATATTGAAAGTGACAAGAAAAGAGCATGAGGAAAATGGTCAAAAGGTGAAAAATTATGCGAATGATAATTTCAATGATTGGAAAAAAGTTCACGTTATAAAAGATAATAGGATGAGCACATGACAACCCTTGATGCAAGATTGATGAGTTATATTGGTATGATGGAATTTATTGAAAGGAACTAAATCTGCAGTCTGTTTGACTTGTTAGTGTGTCCATCAACTTTCATTTTCACTCTTGTTTCTTTCACTGTACATGTGTGTAGTTATGTGGTAAACTTGTCCTTGTACAAGACTTCTATATATCCATCTCCTCTGATTCTCATACTTTGAATGAGTTTTGTTTACTCTTCCTCTTCTCGTGTCTCCACTTCCTATAATTCCTTTCTTACAATTATGACTGACATTGTGTATTTCTCTGATACCAAAATTGCATCTGAATATCTCTTGCTCTCAATATCTGATCCAATTGTCTCCCCCACCCCTCTGTCCTTCTCTCTCTCTCTCTCTCTCTCTTATACTCTAAAAACAAATACATATTTTTTAAAGCATAACAGTTCAAGATTGCTGTTTATTTATTAAAGCATGATTATACAGCATGTCTGTGTACAAGTAAAGTGTTCTTCACATAAAAGACATTAAGTGGAATTTCGATTATTGTGTATCATAAATAGGTGCTGTTTTTTCTTCTGTTTTCCATAAGTTTCCAGCTTGAGTGACATAATAATTTATTTTAAAATACACCTGTAAAAAGATAAACAAATACATGTACAATCTTTTTAGAGTTCCTTTGAATGGCGTCAGACTTTGGAAGTACCAATTATCTCTTCAATTAGAGGAAATTTTCTCTTTTACTTGTTGACAACATATTTCTGACCTAGCATTACCCCCCCCCCCCCGATTCAAAATTCTCTAGCAACAGAATGAATGGTATATCTCTAGCCATTATATTATTTCTCAAACATTTTTATTCCTAATTTATTTAAACTTATTTATAAAGGATGACAATGTCGGCCAAAGCTGTTTTTCACATTGGTCCTGTATGGTAACATACAAAATAACAATGAAATAAGGCAAAACATAAAAACATCTCTCGTGACCTTGTAGCAGAATAACCCTGTGCTAAACAAGTTATCCAATAAAGTCTCCTACTACTACTACTACATATATCATCAATAAACCAGAACTATAACAAGTAATATAAGCACTCACAAGCAACTCCCATAACGATATATGACTAATTAACGACATGCATAGTACATTTTTATTCAAATGGGTAAACAATATATACAACACATGTATATAAACATTCATGGCATCACTGGTTATTTAGTACATCAATGAAAATACAATTGTTTAAATGAAGAAATAGACGTTGAATGAGGTAATGGTTCCAACACCTCCTTGAATAGAACTGGGCCCTGTTTAATTAAACTTGTTATCAATAACAACTGCCACATAGCCTATCTATGACAAATTTGCTCACAGCCAATCAAATGCAAGGATTTTAGTAGCTTGTAACATGTTATTGAAAACAAGTTTTATGAAACAGGGCCCTGGTGTTCAAAATTCTAAATGTACAAGAAATAAATTAAGTAATAATAATAATATTCGGTTCTTGTATAGCGCATATCACATTACATAACGTCTCTATGCGCGTCCAAAGAGTTTTGGAAATATTATTATCCTAGCTTTAGCTCCGGCAGCCGTAATTAATCAGCGCACAGTGCATTTCAAGGAACAACGAGTCCTACACATTTACCCAACTGGGTCGAACAAACTACAATGACTACATTTCGAATTAATTGTATGCATACAAGCTTCTCAAACTTGTTTAATATGTCTCTTCTTGTTTCCTTTCGATCTTATTCTCACTGTTGATCTGTCCGTCCATCTTCAGTATTTCCCGTGTCATCTACTGCTACAGAGAAATTTCTCGTATTTATGTTGACATCAGTAACTGACGCTAGACATGACGTGTTATCTGCAGTTACAGACAGAAGGGGTGACCTTCGGGAAAGTTGTTAGCCATGCATTATCTACATCTACAGATCAAGTAGTTTTTGCACGAACGGTGTCATCATGAATGAATGCTGTGGACCATGCGTTACCTCCAAAACACTCTTTGCCTGAAAAAAAAAATGAAATTTAAAAAAAATAATAAATAACAAACACCTTTGGTATCAAATTAACCTCCTCCTAAATCAGAAGCACAAAAAGACAGGAAAAGTTTAAGGAGAGTTTAAAGCGAGAGATCATCAACAAGTTGATCACAAATATAAGAGACATTTTTTTCATACAAATTGATGACATAAAAGGATGCATTTATTGGTTTGATGTGATGAGAAGAAGATATTGATCTACATCATCCTACATGTTCCTCGCATGCTAACAAGGTCACTTCCTCTAGATTTGTCTTTATGTAAAAGCATGGATTAAAGTAATTCAAATTCCTTCCTTATTGATTGTGAACTTGTTCATCTATTGTCCTAGCTAATTTGTATCAATGCTACTAACACGATTTAGGTTATGAATAAGAATGTCCAGTAAACAACAAACTTGCTTATCATTTACTGGGGGTTTATGAGCCTTTTTCAGCCCAAACAATTATGTATAAAGCTTGTTCACTTGTTCTATAACAGGGTGGTCAAATGGGATGGGGTACCTCAGATGATTCTGGATTTCACTGTGTATCGTATATGGCATTTAATCATCATCGTCCCCACCCCCCAACCCATACACACCATCCTTACAGATAAACTAATGCCTGCACTTACTTAAAGGGATAGTTGAGTTCTTGTTTAAGACCGCAAATGCCTTCGAAGTGCATGGTTTTTGCTCTTATTTTTTATTTATGACATTTCTAGTGCCCTTTTAGTATCTGAAACTGATATGAAGGTAATTTTAGACCCCCAAATGTGTGAATTTAGATTGAATACGATCATACCAATTCACCTCAACTTTTAAACAAGTACGGTGATCGTTAATTAATTGATTAGTTAATAATAACAATACTGGTTGTGCGTATTATAACCAACACGTAAAAGCCAACAAAAAGCCAATATTTACATTGACTGGAATATAAAACGAATAAGGCGCTATCTCGCTTTTCAACGGCTGGTTCAAAATTAACCATATATTTATTTGTAGGGCACCAGAAATATTAGAAATTGTTATATGTATGGATATTTCAGCCGTCTCTTAACTGATTATTATCAAACAAAGATGATTTTGTCATCTAAATTGTGTATTCTTTCAAATTTGAAACTCAGTTTTTCATTATCTCACAAAAAATATTTCGAGTAGTGCCCTCTGCAACAAAACTCAACTATCCCTTAAATAGTAAACGTAAATAAATGCACAATTCTACTCTTCTACTCAGCTGCAAAGTCAAATGTTGTCAAAAGAGCTGAATGAAGGAAAAAAGGGAAACAATTTCTGTACAAAAATGAAAATAACCACTATTGTAGTTTTCATTAGAAGACAGTCCCACCAATTTATAGGAAAATAGTTACCTCTGTGAGATATTTTCTGGCCTCCTGAAGTCTCCCCATTTGAAGCAGTACATTACCCATGCCCAGGAGGTGAGTCCCCAGCGAGGCACTGTATGGTCCATAGTGATATCTAAATCAAATAACATACACATTCAGTCATAAAACTATGGTTTTGCTAAATGTACAGTGGGTTCTAGGACAATTAGCCCCTAGACAATTACCCCTCAAGGACATTAATACCCCTGCAAAATTACCCCCTTGTACAATTACAAATGCATGGCATCCACCCGTATCTTATTCCTTAGTATATTCCAGCAAGAGTTTACCACACAACGCCAAACGTCATGTGTTAACAAGCATTATTAGGGGGAAGATCTGCTGAAATATCACACTTCCTCTGTCTGATCAGTGTTCATAAAAGCTTAATTAATGTACCATTTACAGTCTGTTCATTATTAAAAAAAAAAACACATCTAATCTGAATAGCACTAATTGTTCTGTGTCATGTGTATAACGAACCCGTTATTACCTTAAAGACTCTATGTTCAGTTGTCCCATCTCAACGGATTTTTCCCATTCTTGTATGTGTACGCATGCTCTAATTGCCCCTTGTCTGATCTTCACCAGGAGATGATGATTTGCTAGAAGACTGTTGGAAGAGTCCATCAGCTTTAGGTAGGGTTCACACAGCTGTAGCACTTTGGTCCAATGTAAATCTCACCATTAAGAAAGAGTCAACCCATATGCAATGAAAACCAATTGAGATGGGGACAAAAAGCATGGAAGAATGTATACAGACAAAATGAGAGGACACATAATAAGGGAGAGAAATACAAATGTGATATTACTGGAAATAAGCAAAGTGAATACCGGTAAAGAAAATGGGAGGACTAACATGTAGTCAGTGAGTTGGGAATATAGAGGAAAGAGTATAAGAGAGAGAGAGAGAGAGAGGGGAAGACAGACATATACAAGTAGAAAAATGGAAAAAGGAATCGAGATAGAAAAATAAAGTACAATGAAGGATATTTGTATAATGTAAATTGAGCAAATAAAAAAGCGACCTAAAAACTTATTGACAGGTAATATGGCAATATACAGTGCGTCCCAGAAAAAAAACGAGAATATTATCAATGCTTTATCATAACTTACTCACATTTATAATTCATAAATGACACATATTTGGAAAGCTGAGAACGTCCTCTATTATTTAATGCAACTCATATGATGCATATTTCACGCATGAGTGATTAAAATCAATTTGAAGAGAGGAAACCAACAAGTTATTTGGCGAATTTACGAAAGACCTAACTCCGTTTCATTGACAATCAGGCCATGCATGAAGTCTTTAGTCTTCGGCTGATTGTCAACGAAACGGAGTTAAGTCCTTTGTTAATTCCGTTTGTTGCTACGGCAGGCAGCAAGTGAAAACGAATTCGTTTAATAAAATTATGGAAATGCAAGCACTACTTTAAACAAAAAGAACTTTGTTATTCCTAGCTCATTTTTCCTGATTGAGGTGTCATATGAAAGGGCGGTAACTCAACTTTCTAGAAATGTTATTTTCTCTTTGACATTCAGATACCGTCCGCCAAATGACTTTAAATTGAGTTTAATCACTCATGCGTGAAATATGCATTATATGAATCGCATCAAGTGAAAGAGGAGGATCTAAGCTTTACCAATATGTGTCACTTATCAATTATAATTGTGATAAATTTATGATAAAACATCGATAATTCTCGGTTTCGGTTTTTCTGGGACGCACAGTATACTCATTTTCTAGATAAACTTGAAATGTCAACAAAGGATATCTTGTAACTCCAATAGATCCTGTATTTGCTCCCAGGATTTATTCAGACGGCCTCGGAGATCTTCACCTAAACCTTCATCTGCCTGAAATATACAGAAAACATTTAATTAGAATGTAAAAAAGATTAGCTTGACAATAAGAAATGTTATATTATGTGAAACAATTTCTATATGGACTTTGGAAATCAATTATTATCCAGTGCATTACTGAGAATAGATTCATGCAGGTATCAACTGCCTTGGCTAAAGTACGCATGAACATAGGATACTTGAGAGTTATATCATTATTTCAAATTTGAGTAATAATAGAAAGTAAAGCAGTTCGTGGATCTTAGTATTGCCAAATATATTGTGTAACTACTTTGAACATTGGAAGTGATAATGGTGCACAATGATTAATGAAACCGCAGACCTTATCCCGAGACCATCAATACAATTCAAATTCAAAGATATCTAGTACATGTAGTTTAAAAGAAAACTACCTACCGGTATACTACTGGAGTTTTTATTTTCAGGATATTTTGCAGCATTTGAGAAGAGTAAAACAAAGAATGAAACTGTAAAGTAAAGACTCACATTGATTTCTTCGATGCATTTCACACACTTGCAGGTGAATTGATATCTCTCTTTCAGGTCAGCCTGTCTCTTTTTAGTTGGGTCCATGATATCTACATAGGTGATTGTACACTAAAAACAAACGAAAACCGGTTGTAAGGATCTTAAATTATAAGCACATGTTATTGTTATAATACATGTACAAGTAAAACCATCATGTTTTTCAAGTTCATAGATTTGATTGATTCTTTTTCATATGACCAGACTTACCAGCAAATTTATGGATGTTGACCATAGTGATATCTTCCAAAATTGTGACAAAATTATGTCTAAAGAATCTTAAGAATATACATCAGTTCTTCATAAAAGCTGAAGCGTCCTTCACTGCAAAATCTAGAACTGATATAATCGTATCTTTGGATTCCCACATATAAACTGAACCATTTGGGTGTGCTGATTAAAATCTTATAAACACTGGTAGACTAACCCTGAACATTTGTATGGTGAAATGAGTTGGTAATGATCCTGACAGAATCCATATAAAGCAACAGTCAATTACATTTCTTAAAAAATATTTAGGGTATTTTTTTTCAAGTGCATATCCAGAACATAAGGAATAAAATAAATGTGGTATTTGAGAACAAATATGTGGTCTTACCTCTTCTCCTTCTTTGACATCTTTAATGGTCCTGATTCGAAGTTTTCTCCCATCACTCACCCATGCACAGTTAGGATCACAGGAATGGTTCAACATAGATGCTCTTGAAAACATAATAATGACACATTTATTTTCAAAAAAATGAATATATTGGATTGGGAAGAGACAAGGTACTAATATATTATGCCAATGGAATCATGCTTTACATACAATTAAAATGATGAAAATTATGATTGTTTAGAATTGGATGACATTACCGATAGTGATATAGTAGTTGGAGAAGAAATAGAAACCAAAATGGAAGACATTTAACACCGCCAGTTCTTGATGGATATATGTAGTGATTGTGTAAATGGCAATGAACGCAATAAATTGAGAACATATAATCTATTAAAGCAGAGCTATACAAACATAGTTAAAAACCGTAAACTACGAACAAATATCTGCCGATTTAGAATAAGTTTACATAGCCTACCGATAGAAACTGGAAGATATAGACGTCCGGAAAAAATACCTTCACATTTAAGAACTTGTAATGACTATAACTTGGGAAGGGTTTGGGAAGAATGTTATACCATAACGGATTGTACTGTATACAAGGCTGAAAGGGGGGGGGGGGTATTTCTCAATAAAATTGCTGAAATATCTGGACAGTTTAAAGATCTTAGCGATGAAGAGAAATTTGTAATCATTATGAAACTTGAGAATGAAAATATAATTGATCACTTCTGTTCTTTTTTAGAACATCAATATCGAAATTATCATTCCCATTTGTTATCTATCTTTATTGTCAAACATAGGCTGGTACGTGTCATATAATTATTTGTTATAATATTATTTATATCTCCATGGTATATACAAGCTACAATGTTTATTGTTAATTTGGGACTACTCGAGAAACTATACAACTTGTTGACTTTCTTGTTTATATAATTATTTGTTATAATATCATTTACCACTGTATATACAAGCTACAATGTTTATTGTTAATTTGCGATTACTCGAGAAACTATACCAATTGTTGATTTACTTGTTTATATATATATATATATATATGTATTTTTAAACAAAATATTCATGTATATGAATGAAGTTTACTAATAAGATTTAATCAGTTATTCACACAACATTTGTATTTCTACAGTTCTAAATTTTAATAAAAGAGCTTGCTGAAAATTGGAACTTTATTTACATTTTGTTTCCCTTTGGAATTCGAAAATGGACACATCATTTGTTTCCAGATAATTCTTTCAGCACCTTATCATGTGAGCTAATTCTTTCAGAAAGTGTTCCTGATTACTTGTCATATAGATCAAAAGAGGCGCAACGGCTCAGTGGTAGAGCAGTAGTCCCGTAGCCGGGAGGTCATAGGTTCAAAATCAGGTCAATATGCTTGTGCCCTTGGGTATGCTACATTTACACTATGTTCCCGGCGGCGACGGCAGCCCCGTTTGCCCGAAACGTAGTGCGCCGTGGGATTTTGGCAATATTTTTCTTTTTGTTCAAGTTTTGTTATGCTACGTTTACACTATGTTCCCGGCGGCCACGGCAACCACGTTTCAGGCCACCGTGGACGAAACGGGATTGACGTGACACAACGCGGGGACCGTATGGGCAAACGTGACAGGCCGTGATTGCCGTGGATACCGTGTCAGATTTTTAAACTGTCAAAAAATTTGCCACGGCAGTCACGGTGCGGATGAGAAACCTAGTAGGCCGTAATAAACCGGGGTGAACGTAACAAAACGTGACAGTCCGTAATAGGCCGTAACAAAACTTGGGGGTGGTCCGTAGTGGGACGGTCTAAGCGCCCGGCACGCTACGGTGCGTTGCGTTCTACTACGGTCTGACACAACGCGAGGTCTCAGAATACCATGATTGCTATTGCTTGGGAGACCTTCTTTTTATACCGCCGGCACAAACGTGCTACAAAGCTGCCCTGCGTCCACGTTTCATCCGTACAAAGCCTTGACAGAACGTGAAAAACGTGTCAGACCTTGATCAGAACGTGGGAAACGTGAGGGACCCCATCAGAACGTGACGGGCCGGGAGGGAACGTTCTGGCATCCGTGGTAGAACGCGGGCTGAACCGTAGTGCGCCTTGGAGCCTCCGGGACTCAGCATCCCCTTCCCCCCACGGCCCGTCACGGATACCGTGGTAGACCGTGAGAAAACTTGGCAAGACGTAACAAAACTTGAATCCAGAGATAAAATTGGTCTTAATCCCACGGCGCACTACGTTTCGGGCAAACGGGGCTGCCGTGGCCGCCGGGAACATAGTGTAAACGTAGCATAAGGTCTTGTCAAGTTTTCTCACGGTCTTTCACGGTATCCGTGACGGATCGTGCGGGGAAAGGGGCTGCTGAGTCCCGGAGGCTCCAAGGCGCACTACGGTTCGGCCCCGGGCTACCATGGATGCCAGTTAATTCCCTCCCGGCCCGTCACGTTCTGATGGGGTCCCTCACGTTTCTCACGTTCTGATCAAGGTCTGACACGTTTTTCACGTTCTTTCAAGGCTTTCTACGGATGCAACGTGGACGCCGGGCAGCTTTGGAGCACGGTTGTGCCCACGGTATGAAAAGAAGGCCTCCCAAGCAATAAAGTACAGCGTAGGATGCTGCTGGAAGAAGTCAATGATGAGTTCCTTCTCATCCTCCGTAGAGGTGGTGACGAACCTGGGGACTGCCCTCCTCCTAGCTGGTGCGTCTTCCTCAGCCTCCCCAGCCTCAGGTTCAGGTTCCTGTTCAGGGACTGGGTCAGCAACAGCAGTATGCTCTTCTTCATTTGGCAGGGGTGAACGGCGAGGATCTTCAGGCTGTTCCTTCTCCTCTACTACTGATGGTGGTGGGGGTGGTGCAG